TCAACAATGCAAGTCAGAATCACGCAGGCTGTGATGCAACTGGCATTGCGGCATTTGCCTGCCCCCGATCAGGCGCCTTCATTCCAGGCAGCATTGTTGACTTTCAGAAGGGCGAGCGCCAGCTGAACATCGACTATGCTCTTTGTGAGGCGCTGAAGAACATGGGACTGAATGGTTTGGACGATATCATGATCATATATGACGTGATGTGTCAGTATCATGTTAATCTCTGGGACAGGATTGCTAACAATCCAAATCTTTCCATCTCTGAGAAGGCTAATTTGATCATGGGAATTGGTTTATTTCATGTCCATGGTCATCAGGATGAGTGCCTCTTCCGGTTGGCGACGTCATTTATTCCCGGAGCTGGAATGGTAGATGGGGAAATATTGGAAAGCCTTTGGGCGCAGCTCAATGATATCTCGAGGAGTACCCGCACGGCCACCCTCGCCCATCGGGCCGAGGTCTTGGACGACCATATGAATGACAGCAACTGGAATAAAATGGTCAACATTGTCTCCTCAGTCATTGCCAAGTACAGGAAGGCTGTCATTGGTCTGGTGGACAGCAAAGACTACTTTGACCAACTGAATAGTTCGGCAGGCGAACACAACCACACATGGCAGGCAGAGATTCGTGTGGCTGAGAGCGATTGGGTGCAAGGAAATTTGAAGGCGATGGATATTATGGCGCCAAGAAATCCACCCAATTGTCCAGGTAAGCTCTTACTATGCAACTTTGGTGGAATTGGCTCTAGTCCGCCAAGAGTGTGGCGCCCAAATTGAAGGCGCCATTCCAGGAAGAGTGGCGCACAAATTGAGGGCGCCGTTCCAGGATCCCTGGCGCTCATGGACGCCGTGCCAGCACCCCTGGCGCTCATGCCATTTTACCTAGACTAACCAACACTACAGCCCCCCTCACCACCGCTCAAGTCCAATTAAAGCTGATGGACCAGGAGCGCCTTTCGATGGGCAGTACAGGTCAAACATCTTGGATTGCAACAGGACTCAAAATTGAGGAGACACAGTAAGACCCTGACAGAGCCAATGCATACGAGGAATGGCTTACATTAAAACAGGATTGAACTAAGGTTTCTCATTCGGCGTACTGGAAAAAAACCAACTATCCTGCAGAAAGTTGACATTGCTAAGAGGAGGGAAAGGTTAAGAGTGAGAATCGATGCTTTCAACAAGACGGGAATGACCTTTTTAGCATGGAACCCAGCATTAAATGAAAATCAGCTGTTGCTTCGTGAAGAGTTTGATATGGACGATGTTCTGCAGATGGACGATGATCTGGCCGAGTCAAATTTCAGTGGCAGCGCGCCTGATATCATGGTGGTCGCCGCCACAAAGGTTGCACAAGCCCAGGCAGCGGCGCTTGCT